AAAATCTTAAGGTAGTAAGTGGAACTGAAAGTAAGTACATACTTATGCAATAATTCGTTTAGGAAAGGGTTGGGCAATGTTAAATTTAATATGAAAGATGTGTACCAAAGGGAACTCCATTCATAGGTACTTTTTAGCTTTAGCAAAGTATTTCTATATATACCAACACCTGTAAAAGCCTCAATTTCGATTTAAAAGAAAATTGTCGATGATTCGTAAACTAACGTTAAATTTATTTCCGATTAAAATAGAAATTTGCAAAATTGATTTTATAGGGGTGTTTTCGTATACCTACCTACTCTAGAATTTCATTTCGATCAAAGCAGCCGTGAAACAACGTAGATGGTGAGAAATTGTTTTGCCGCTCCTTAAATTGTTTCATGCAGGCGATTAGAACTCTCTCGACTGTAATCTAACATTGTTATCCTGAAAATTGGACTTGATGGAAACGTGTTATCTACTTCAAATATTAAATTTTATTAAAGTTTAATTTATATTTAGTGGGTTTAGCTTGCGAAACCGCACCATCCTATTCCATTAAGATTTTATTACTTATTTCTGTACCCAGTTGGTGAAAAACTCATTTTCTCTTTGTCGTGTACTATATTCATTATTTGCGCAAAAGCTGTAGCCATTTAGTTGTGCAAAAAATAGAATGCACCTACTTAGTTCCTCTACTTGCTTTGCAAAAAATAAAGTAGTCGGAAAGTGCCCTTATTTGATCGCATTATTCTGTTTTGTTGAATATCCCATCCCGCATCAATTTCATTGGTCGTAGTAATCCATTGCCATTTTCTAAATCTAAAGCCATAATTATACATTTCCGATTAATAGAATACATATAGCTAATCAATAAAGTCAAGGGCAACAATAAGGCAGGAAGCATATTGTTAATCGGTAGATAGTGTTGTTTATTTATTCATTTATGTCGGTGTGCCTAAATTCATAACGTTAAATAAGTTTAAACATGTTTCAGATTTTATTGTACAAGAGGTTAATTATTTAAGCCAATTTGTATTTGTACATAACTGCACTATAGGAAAATAAGGATAGTCTTCGTTGTTTTTCATTCATTTTATACCTACCTGCATACTCACCGGTCAGCCAGAAATGAGAATCTGTAAAAATTAGTTTCATTCAGGGCCGCAGCCAGGGAGGTGCCAGAGGGTGCTTGGCACCCTCTGACCGATCACGATCAGAATCATAAAATAAAAATGTACAATAGTGCTATTTTTGTACATTGTAAATTAATTATTACAAATATACAATATTATAGTTGTTCATAATAATAATTATTACAATAAAATTGAATAAAAATGATTATTCTTGATAATTATAATACCTCTACATACTACATTTTGTAGTATGAGTACAATAATGGTTATTAGAATTATGAAATTTGATTCAAAAGTAACAAGTTTAAATAACTATCAGATTCAGACATATCTGAAATCTGAAGTTATGGATTTTCTAGCTGTAGGCTTGTTTCTTGCTTGACAAGTTGGCAACATCGCTGATTACATTCGAAAAGGAAAGAACTAAAAATATAGACATGAACATACTTCTAAGAGAATTTCATAATGCCAAAGAGAGAAGGTTGCATCTATTTTAATGAATATATTCCAGCTTTTTTCTATTGTTATAAATAAATTGTATTAGATAAACTATATTTATAATCTAATATTTTTATGTATGCTTAAATATTGATTCGATTGACTTATATTTATGTTACGTTTATTTTATGTTACATCTTTTGTTTGTTTAATATATAATATATATTGGATAAAATTAGTTTTTTTAATATATTTTTTGCTTTTTTGACAAACAAGTCTCTCGAGACTTCATTTTTGTAAACAATAAGTGAACCCTCCAACATTTCGTTTGAACCCTTACAATTATCGTTCTAGCTATGGCCCTGGTTTCATTTCATGATTCACTGTTACCTTTTCCACATTTTTAATTACATTTATTCTTGGTATCTTTATATTTGTTGTCCACGTATCCAATCTCTCAATTAAATGCATATATTGCTTCCCGTTTTACCTTAACTAATTCCGGTGCCTTCAACTAATTCCGGTGCCTTCATTTCTTAACCTACACTCTAAAGTCAAAACTCATCAGTTCTTTTGGATTAATTTAAATTTATAATTTATTAAATTAAAACAGTCCATTTGCAGTAGCCGTGGACACAAAATGGTTTGACGTTGTGTGGACACACTTATTGGTGAAGGTTATAGAAGGTGTTAGACGCTGATCTTCAGCAAGTTGTGGCATCACTCATCAAATCACTACAAATTGTTTTTGATATTTAAATTTTATTTTTAATGTTACCCTCTATGAATCTTTCTGCCAACCACATTTTAGTGTTCGATGCATAGAGGGACCCGTGTAGCTGCTGGCTTTGGGAATATTTAATAAGTTTGTGACCTCGAGTGCCTAACGCAACTTTGTCAAAAATCGAAAAAAACGCGATACTTTCGACTTTTTTCGGCTTTTGACGATTTTAACCGTAAAAGAGCCAGTTTTTGATACTCAGTACGCTTTTAAAGTAGACTAAATTCGCTACAATATGAGTCCTTAGGGAGACTAAGCTTTTGGGAATCATGCTACCGGACCAGTTTTATATACTAATTTACCTTTGATAACGCCGGCTTTAATGGGAGGCCCTTTAGATGGGTTGGGTACTTTTTACGCAATGGGAGCAATAATGAATGTTCTGTTCTCAATATTCTTTTAAACAATGTGTATCAAGCAATTCAAATGTCATTATCGTCTTTGACATTCTTGCGTTTCTAGGTTCGACTTACAATATAATTCACGCACATTTCTACAGCATCTTTGTTAGTAATGACTAATTTTTTAGTTAAGTCTCATTCCATTTTCTGAGCTTCCAGGCACATTCCAGCATAGTAAAGGTTTTTGAAAAACAACGACTAATTCTTTAAACTTCCCAGTGCTTTTGTGGAGATTTTTACGTGCTTCCTGAGATTTCTTAAACCATTAATAAACCTTCTAAACACAATATCCGAGAAATGTAGCAATTTAGGCTTTCCAGCCCCTTCCCAGATGCTATCTGAAGCTTTGCAAAGCTTTTCAAGCGCTTACCTGCTAGTTATTATCCTGTTTCTGGAGAGTCTTTTGAAAGAATTTCAGACCACACCAAAGCTTTTCAAGGATCTTCTGTGTTCTATTTGAGAGGCTCCTACGCTCCGTTAGATCTCACAACCCTTTCTGTTCGAGGCTCAGGAAAGTGGACAGAAACAATTAAACCACTAGAGGACGTTCTCTGCATACAACTAGAGAAGCGCCGCAATAGAAATTATGGGCCGAATAGCGTGTAGAGGTGTGGGACTTATAAATTTTTGAGTAAATTGGATTCTATCCCGTGTTGTTATGTGCCGATGTAAAGATAAAAGATGCTATGCCTCTACTGTAACAGATTTTTTATTCAATATTCGAATTTTACATAAATAATTGTAGAAGTACTTGATATTTATGGTATGTTCGGGTGCTGTAATTATTAATATTAACAAAATATCAAAAATCTGTTACAAGAGAGGCGTGGAACAAAGGATTTAGAATCCAACTTGACTTTGATGATGTTGCTAACTAACACCGTTTTCGAAAAAATCGCTAAGAGCTGAACCTAAAATGCGTAACTATTTCATGCGCGTGACGGCCTCTTAAATATGCCTTGAAAGTGCCAAAAGGCTTTGGAAAGCATTTTAAACGCTATAAAGGTACATACCTTGCCAGAGCGTTCTATAGTATCTTTCCAGGCCTTTATAAACTCTTCCAGCTCTGGAAAAGGAGAGCTACAATTATTTCCAGGGCATTATGAGACTTTTTTATCATTGCTAACCCTAATTTGCAGAGCTTAGGTATTGGTACTTGATAAAAGTCTACAGCTCTTAGTGCACTTCAGTTCCTTTTCAGAGCTTTTTAGGTTCTCGTCAGTTTTCTGGAGCCTTTCCAGTGCCTTCTAGGAGTTTCTCAGTGCATTATTTAGTACATTCTACACTTTTTTCAGGACTTTTCCAGAACTTTTAAAGCAATATTTTAGTTTTAGAAAGCGGATAAAAATACGAAAAAATAAAAAGTTCTTCTACACGTTTCCACTGTTTTTGTACACTTTTTAGTATTAAAGTGGTTTCCAATATAGATCTATTTCACTATCTAGAGTCTCATATCTTGAAAATTGTATAAAACATTATCTAAAAGTCCCTGAGAAGCACTTGAGGGATTCTAGAAAACGCAAAAATAACTTTGATCGGCAAAGAAAAGTTCTTGAACGCAAATATGTCACCAGAAAACAGAATTTGGCAGTAAGACACAAAGTCCTATACGATAAGTTCCGAAATAAAAAAATCCATAATACTATTTGATCATATCAAATTTTCCATGTTACTGACCTGACTTGAAAATGGGGTATTTCATGTAGGAATTAGGTACCTATATTTAGAAAATACCCATACAATGACCACTACTAGTTATTTACGGCTGATGTTTTATTCCGTTTTATCTAGATTTTCAAGATATTTCCAATGATGGGATGTCTGTAGAAGAGGCAGAGGGATATCTAGGGTAGCTAGACATTTTTTAGATGATGTCTCCTTGGATTTTACTTACACAAAATAGGTTTTTCAATATAGTAATTACTTACATTTTAATCAAGTAGCATTGAACATGTGTATTTATTTTTATTGCTTTATTGCTAAACTAAAGCTCTCACTGTCACAGTGGATAATTTCTTGTACTTATGCGCAACACGTGCGATTTAAGGTAGATACACATAAAACAACTATGGTGTTTGCTTTAACGGATCGGTACCTGAAAGTTTCTGTTTACAGAAAAGGATTGCTTTGAAATGGAAAGAAAGCAAACCATGGAAGTAATAATTGAGTGAAATAAATTGGAAAGCGCAAGTAAATAATAGAAACACTTGAAAGATATATCTCAAATAAAGGAAGTTGTATGAGGGGTGAGAAAATAAACCTGTAGACTCTGAATCGTTACTTTATTTTTAACAATCAATCATGCGAGCGTTGCCTTTTGCGTAGCGCCCTTCATATCGGCCAGTTGCCCTACGCCTTGAAATTTGGAATATCTGCAAAATAAAGAATGCAACGCAATATTCTTAAGAATTGTAAATACCTACATCCTATCATACTTCAAGCTTTCTTCTTTCGTCAACGAAGGGCGAGTACTTCTTAAAGCTTCCTCCAGGTGATATTGATTAATTTCCATTACATCATGAGCTGCTTTTGCCTAAAACTTTTCTTAATAAGTGAGAACTGTAAATATTTTCGTAATAAAACGAAGCCGTTTAAATTACTTTCTACACGTTGCTAAAAGAAAGACACCAAACACATAATAATTATTGCTATAAAACCCCCGCAGCAACCATTCTAAATTAATGGAAATATGAATTAAGCAAACCATAAACGACAATCAAAAGCTGCGTAAAATCAAAGGAAATTAAATTAAGTTCAATTTCCACGCTTTTCAATTCGATTCAGTATTGAAATTAACTCAATGCCAAAATTAAAACAGTAGAAACAAATTCAATTATACGTTAAATGCTGCAGTTAATGATGTGATTTCTGGGAATGTACTTCGTTAACTTTGTAGGCTTCCGTTGATTACGTGTATATATGTAAAACGCTTTTAGAATAACCATATATTGTAATCTAGCACAGTTACGACTTACTTCAATCAGAATAAGATGTAAGGGTTGCTTCTATTAGTGTTATAATTACCGTAGTCATTAGTCAGTCCCATTAGCGGAATCTAGTTTAAAGATCTACTAAACTTTGATGCCATTCTACCTAGAAATACCTTCAAAGTTTCTAAAACTACGACGAGATAATAAAACAGCGTCAAGGTACTTCCGCTCTATATCAAAATTAAAAAAAGAGTACTACGTTTTAAATTTTACATTACAATAGACATATACTAGATCAAAAACTATTTAATTTCTTATTATCGATAAGAAACAAAAATATTTAAATACAAATCCTTCCCTCAACTCATTGCTGTTGCTATTATAGCTAATTAAAAAGGCATATGACATTTCATAGTAACGTTTAAACTGTACCGTATTTCAAAGTAATACAAACCTGTAATTCCTCAGTATCTAATTTCTCAACAGTACACAACTGAGCCGTATACAGCACTGCCTGCAAATCAGCGCCAGAATACCCAGTTGATTGTTGAGAAATCTCTTCCAAATCAATATCTGTCGCCAACCTCATCTTCTTCGATAATGACTGCAGAATTTTTAACCTTGCAGGCTGAAAAAGACCATGAAACAAGCGTTTATATTAATTAACTAACTTGATCGGGGAGAGGGCACAGAATTTGACGATCGAGTCTTCCAGGGCGTAACAAAGCTGGATCTAAAAGGTCAGGTCGTGAAGTTGCAGCAAGCACGCAGACGCCACTAAGACTTTCTACGCCATCTAACTGAGTTAGTAATTGATTTACAACGCGATCTGTCACCCCAGTGCTATCGTGTCCACGTCTGAAATGGATGTCAGTGATTACCGAAATCAGTGGCACACTCACCTTGGGGCTAAACTGTCAAACTCATCAAAGAACAAAATGCAAGGCTTAGCACTTTGAGCTCTACAATTAAACTTGTTAGAAGGATAATGTACCAAATATTCTAGCTACTTTTCAAAGACATCTCGGACGGCCTGCTCACTAGCGCCAATATACTTCGATAAAAGCTCGGGACCTTTGATCGAGATTAGCCGCAAACCGCAGTGTTTTGCAGCCGCACCTGCCAGAATCGTTTTACCTGTTCCAGGCGGTCCATACAGTAGCAAACCGGATTGCAACCGCAAGGGCGCGTTGTCAAACAAATGAGGATACTGAAACCGACAATTAACCCTGAATTGATCTGTTGCTTCTGGATTACCTGTACAGGCCACAACATGCACTCAATTAAAATTTTCTTGACATCCTCCAAACCACCTACATCCGTAAAGTCCTTCTCTCCAGGTGAATGCAGCTGGATATCTTTTAGTGAGAGCGCCACTGAGTTTTGTAAGGCGAGCTCGCAATGACCCAAAGTCACGTTCGAACTATCTGCAATCAGGAAAATTAAATTCCATAATTTTGTATAGTAGTTGCCAGTAGTAACCTTCTTTAACAGACTCAAACACAGCTTTATCCACAAAGTCGACCAAGTCTTGTACGACGAACCCTTCCGTTTTCTGAGCCAAATGGTCCATACTGAAGTCGTCGATCTGGCACTTCTCTTTGAATAAGAACTCCAATATTGAAACGCGATCGGGCTGAAACAGAATTAAACCAACGAACTGTCACTGCAATAATTACCTTTTTCAATTCGCCGATTTCGTACACGTTCTTAAAGAGATGTTGACCACGGGATGAGTAAATATGGTCATTTAGTTTCAGTAACGAGGTAGCAGTTGCGAGGATGAGTATGCGATTTGACTTAACGGTTTCGTGTAAAAGATGAGCAAGCATTTCACTCACTCTACAAACTGAATTAGAAAGCTACTATACAGAAAACTCAGTACCTATCAAAATTCAAACTCTCAGGAGTTGGAGCGTCACCTGCGACCACTTTCTCGCAAAGAACGTGAAGGTCCTCCAGAACTAGGACTGACGGTTGGTAGTATATACAATTGAGAATCGCATTCGCAAACACTTTGCCTAGAGAATCCAAACTTTTCCCCTTCACTGCTTTACAGGATATTACCTCAGAATGAATGTACAATGGAGACAACGCTAATTTCTCAATCAAAACTTTGACCAGGACAGTTTTGCCACTTCCAACTTTGCCTGGAGCAGAAAAAATGGGTTAAACAACCAATTTGGCGCAGACCTACCAATCAACAGGAGGTTTTCAGCATCCTCCGAAGTTAATAAATCATAGCTGGGTTGCACAATTTCGCTGAAACGCGCGAAATTTCCGCAATACTTCTGCGGCTCAACTTTCGCGCAACTTCTGCCGGCAGGCACCCCTTCGGTAACGGAAAATTTACAATTTCTAACAAAATTCGAATCGGCAACGCAGAAAGTGACGTTCGATGGTTGAAACTTTAACGAAAACTGATATCCGGAACAATCCATAAGAACGTTACTATTTAAAATTACTTTTTGAGTTTTGCTGTTTCGACTGATCAACAATTTAAATTTTCCAATTGCATTTGTTGATTTTTTCGCGTATGTGCAGATTTCGATACTGTCAACCAATGGGGCAGCATGTATATGATCGCTTAAAAAAGCTTTGGCGCCTGCTTTCAGATCGAAATGCTTAAACATGCACGAATGCACATACATCAAACTTCCACTGACGAGGTGATCCAAAATGTGTATACGGACAACTACATTTTTAACCTCAAAGGTTTCTTCACTCAAATTAGTATTGGCAGCTGGAGGAATAATAATTCCTAATCTAAATATATCACCGGAGCTTACATTTTTCGGTACAGCGTGTTTGCTAACAAAAGCATTAAAATGGTCTAATTCTCCCCCTTTAACATCTGATAGATCTGCTACAGGGAGTAAATTGAAACAAACAGGGTAGCACCTCTTTGTGTACTTCTTGTCAATTGTGTCTGTTTTAGAGTCAGCCTGTGATTGTTTAAAAGGATTCAAAAATTCTAAGAAATTCCAGTTGCTGTTGTTGGTGGTGACATCAGGTACCTCCGCTATTTTGGGTTTTGGGGGCGCTACTTCTACTTCAGTTAGAAAATCTAACCTGCCGAGGTTGGCTGGTTCCATGCTCTCTGTAAAAAATTAATAAATGCAACTCGGTCCTAGTAATTTATTTACGGAAGAGAGTCCTTAATATAAATAAATAAAGCAGGGCGAATATGACCAGTGATTTTCTAACTATTTTACATCTGGAAATACAACGAGCCGAGAGTCGTCTTATTCGAAATTTGAATGCAATCACAAAAGTTAAGTTTCAAAATTTCTTAATTAATTCTTTGCGGACTTTTGGAGGCGGTTAAGTCTGCTGAATTTTGCAAATTAATAAAATGATTTTTTTCGGTAATTTTGTGACGCGTTGTTATATCTGAAATAAAGAAATCTCCCGCCAGGAATTGTTTTTTTTTTATTTTGAAAATTAATTTTGGATTCATTATTTTCCTTGAAAGAGAAAAAGGATTCATGAACGTGAATTTTCGCAAGTTAATTAGTACTTCAAGGGCCAATCCTAGGGCCAATCTTACACAAAAGTGATTTTCCTGCATAGAACATGCCGTGAAAAAAATTTATGGGGATGAATAGTCCCGGAGGGAATTTTTCAAGGGAATTTTTTTAGGAATGAATACTTATTGGGTCGAATGTTTAAAGGTCAAAACGTAACCCATAAACTAATAATTTCCGCGATTTCCGTACCATGAAAAGTATTATAGAGGATATACCTACTTGCATTTTCAAGCTTAATTCTGTGTGCTTTTGAATACGTAACATATGAAGAGTAAGAATAATGGTCAATGGATGTACCTAGATCAACCGAAGCTTGTCCAAAATGTGGTACCCCATTTGCAAATAGGGGCTTGAGGTTTTTGTATATAAGTGTTCATGAACTATGTTTTGTAGAATCATTTTTTGAATATCTAAAATCATTTGATGTTTTCCGACACCAGTCTTCTAAATAAATATTTCAATTAAAAACTTAGAGGTACAAATGCTAGCGCAAAAAATTCTATATTTTATACGTCAAACCTCGCGTCAAACATTCGGTAATCAATTTCATCCACCTCGCGGTTTTTAGATTTCCAAACGTGATTCCGTGACAAGGTACCTATGCAAGTATAAATGATTAGCGATAAGAGAGAAATTTGACCTCTGTTTGCGATACCATTAAATTTAATAACAGTTGCAAATTTGACGTGCACTTGCCGTTACCTATTCCTTTGGTTTCAGTGATCAAAAACGTATACTAGGCATTGAGGGTAAGTTTTCACTTATTTGCAAACTGCCTATTAAGTAAAATGAACCTAATGTATTGGTATTTTCCTAGCTGGACCTTATTAGGTACCGTCACTCTTTTGCCAAAATTAATCACCTTCTTCGCGAAATTATAGTAGAATAATAACGTATTATGGTACACAGGGGAAAAAGCACAATATTAAAGTAGTTCAGGCATCGTCAAATTGAAAAGACTAACTCTGTATTTCACAATGATTTTCAAAAAAGATCGTACCTATTTTTTACTTTGTTTGGTGCCTCGACTGCAGGCTTCGTTATTGCCTATTAAAAAAGTTGTACTTAAATAATTATAACATTTAAAGAAGCACAACATCTGTATATTTCCTTGACATTATAGTTTTTGAATGACATGCAACTTATCTTTTTTTCGCATGAAAACCGTCGTTTTTTGGGTCATTACTATACTCTATTCATTTTAAGAAGGTAGCGGTAGAAGGCATAGGGATAGTTTGACCTTCACTGTGATTGGTGAAAACACGAGTCAGTATTACCCTGAAAAATAAAATGAGTGACGAATTCTGTCTGTTAGAAGTTTCAGTTACGAACTAAACTATCGAACTGTCATTAGCTGTCAATTTCATAGAGACACACTTGATATTGTTTGATTTATATTTATATTTTTCAAATTTTGTGCCGTTTTATATTTTTCCTGTGTGTGTTTATCTTCAAACGCAGCGCCATCTACTACCTTCTTATAATGAATGCAGTATAGCTCAAAAATATTGCATATGACTATTATATCTAAAATCTATATAATAACACGGCTTGATACACTCAGCCAAGTGTTTCTTCGATTTTTAGTAGAGGGGTCTGATACTCCGTTCAGAAAACAAGTACCTACATTATTACATATTCTTCAAGGGCACGCGTTTTATCTATGCTTTTATGTTACGATGAAGAGATATTAAATTCGGCCGCTATGTCCCTTAAATTTCTTATGGGATTCTCTTCTACAAAAATTAAAACATTCAGTTTCATATCCTCCGTTAAAATTTAGGGTTGTTTACGGTGTCTTATATGGATCATATTTAAATAACCACTAATTTTAAAGTGATCAATACAGGAAATGTCTCTTACGCTCCTTAAACTACTACCGACACTATACCAATTGACATATCAACTTTTTCTTTTTGATTCATTTTCAATCACCATGTATATTTTGACTAATAGATGTGGATACTAATAAAATACATTTTGAAAAACAGCTTCATGTCTAAATGTCTACCCATCTAAGATAATATTAACCTAATAAATATAATTAATAATTATAATGTTTCGTTTGGGAAGTAAGATCTCTTCTCTTTTTAAATATTCGCTTAATTACTCAATTTCTGTCCATATAAAAATATGAAGTTGATGGTTGTTTGTCAAAGATAAAACGTGAAAATCTGTGGGTATTATCTTGTGTAGAGCTTAAAAAATGTCTATTAGGAACTTTTTTCTAGTTTAAGCGACTGTGTATCTCATAGTTTCCGATTTCCCCATGCGGTTCATTCTTATCTTGGACACACTGTATACTATCATAATTACAAAATATAGTTATTAGGTTCTTCATTTAAGATATATTCCATTACAGACCAAATAAAGAAACGAGCAAGTATATAGCTAATGGAATTCGAAAAATTTCTTTTCTTTTAGCAAAGAGTAACCATAATACCGTTGAGTGAAGGATCTAGGTACTTCACTCAACGATAATACTCTTTGCTTTTAGTAAATCTGCAATATAAATTAGGCAACTTTACATACTCCGTTCAGGAATATTATTTCAGTCCATAGGCGCCTTTAATTAATTCTTAATGCAAAATCACCTTAGACCATATAGTACATGGACTGCTAATTGTAACTAAAATATGGTCAGGGACATCGCCTGGGCACAGCTTACTTACTATCCAGCTCCGCAACTCTTGAGCGGCGCCTTTGATCTGGCGGTCTACAACCAAGCGAGATGGAATGGTGCCCTCCTTCTTGCGCTTGGGGTAAAAGTCGGGGCCGGATTAAACGTATTTTCATCGCGCGGTCGCTTCACAGTACCGTAGTAGGTGATTTTTGAGCTGTATTGTAATGTGAACGTTTAGAATTTGCTGTACAATATTACGTAATATTGCAATGAAACTAGGGTTAGGTGTTTAATACATTTTATTGCCTAATTGAATTGAATTCGGGACAATGGCCAACGTGGCAACACTGGGCTTGATTGCACGCCAAACAGGCAATGCAGTCTTTTACCCCAAGAGGCGGAACATAAGCGCTGCGCGCGTAGATCGGCGCAAACCGCTCCCGCCAAGAGAGTTGTGCAGCTGGATAGTAAGTAAGCTGTGGCCTGGGTATGTGAGTTTCAGGGTAAACGAGTCTGTCCGAATTTGTCCGATTAGCAACGATTTGACACTGTCAACCCACGATACCCTTACAGACGGTATGCTCATTATTTTTCTCAAACGCGTTTTCTACTGCGCATTACGTCACCTGCGAACGTGTGGCGCCAAAATTCAAATGTTTAAGCACGATCCAGTAGGTACACTTGTCACGCGTGACATTTTGTAACTTTATCAGTTGTATCTACGAGTTTTCGCGTTAGTTTGTTGATAGCTAATCAATCATTAGTGAAAATTCCAAAATGCCAGGTTGTGTAGTGGCTCAATGGGGCAATTCTAACAGATAAACAAAAGGAACGGAAATAAAATACTTTCGATTTCCGATAATGGAAGACTTTTCTCAAAAATGGATTGTTGCATGTCGTCCTAAGGATAAAATTAACTTGAAAAATGGTGTTACATTAATCTTAAGTTGTGTATTTAAGTTTTTACATTGCTGTTTAATTTTATAGCCTGTATTTTTTCTGAACATTTTGAAGCCAGTCGTTTTGAAGCACCGCTAAGGGAACGACGTCTTAATTATACTTTTAAACAGCGGACATTTGAACCTTTACCTACTTTAAAACTACCACGTAATAATGAAAATCAAACTAAAAGGGAAACGGAGGATAGATTAGATCTTTTGATAACGCATTAATTACATAATATTTACTGAAAAAGCCTCACTTCATGTTTAGGGCCAAAATTTTTGGTTAGAGTTTATTTCATACCATCGTGAAATCCCAGAAATATCCGACGCGACGATCTCTACTTTGTCCATCTAATGCCCGTTTGCACCGACAAATTTAAGCGGCGCCTAGCTTAAGCGCAGCTTAGAATCCATGGCAACCATTGCCTCAATAATCGTTGTCAGGGATTTTAAGCTACGCTTAAGCTAAGCTCCACTTAAATTTGTCGGTGCAAACGGGCATAAGTAGCGTAAGTTTGCTCAATATTCTATGGTTTTGTTCACACGTGACGTCACGCTAGATGCGCAAGAGCATACCGTTGTAAGTGTATCGTGTGTCAACCTATAAATTAACAAACGTCAATTAATTAATCGCCTAGATATGCCAAAAAAAGCAAACCTATTCTTATTTGTGGACGTGTAGAAGATAATCAAGAGTATTTAAAGCTTCCCGTACTACGCGGTTATTATAAAAGCTACTCTTTATGCGATCCGAGTGATGTTTAAACGACTTTAGTTTACCCTGAGATTCACATACCCACGACTACAGTGCCCTCTATCCGTGACCACTCATTTTGTATTAAAAGCATAGGGCTAAATAGCAGTCCATGTACTATATGGTCTAAGAGAATCACCCCCTTAAGTATTTGGATATCATTAAGGAACACCCTGTATACCTTTATCTACCATGAAAAGAAACCTTTTTAGAAGGATATTGGAAGTCCGTAATAAATTACCAAATCTACAAATCCATTGTAACACCGTAGCAACGCAAAAAGTACATACTTTAACAATGAACATATTCAAAGATGGTACACAATGATGGTACTAAGGGGGACTTTAGTACTAAGCATTGATAGGCAACACATCATACATTGTACCTAAAATTCTAAATTACTGTTTCCCGAAATCGGACGTTTCTTGACAGATACGATAAATTGTATTTATAGGGATGATATAATGCTTAAAGTCCCTGTACGGTACATGCACTCTACACCCAATTTCATTTGCTTTCACTGGGCATTAGCACCTCAAAAATTAAGAGCACTTTCACCTAACAGGTGAAAAACCACCCATCTACATTAAAAAAACATACCCACATTCACAGGTAAATGCAATGAATCTGAAATCCAAATTACAAATTCCTGATCTTTTCTCACAATTCGCAACTGATTTAACAAGGTTGACTGTACACTTTCGGACAGTATCTCCTAATTAAAACACGACATTAATAAAGTGGCCCCTCGAACATTGTACGCACCAATACTTCATAATCCTCAATCGACTTTGGCCTAATTACCACCCTAGTAATACCCGGTACATCGTAACGTCCACTGATCATAACACTCACGTCCTCGCGCAACCCAAGCAGTTGGGCTTGCAGACGATTTAACCCAACTTCACCCTCCTTTAGACTTGATAGGGGTTGCGCTGAGAAAAATGTAGATTTGTTATCGTAACTTAATTCAAGTGTAATCTAAAATACGGTGGGCCTACTAAAGTGTGTAAGCTTCGCATCTACTTACTCCTTTATCGAAAAATCTAGCATTCTGTTCTGAAAAGTAACAAAAACAAGTTTTATAGGTTATGTATTTCACGGTGAAGATTTTAAAATTCATTACAAAAGTTTGTTAGTTCTTAAAAGAGGTAGGTTAATTAAAAACTAAAATTGTTAGAAATGTTTATGTTGGATTTAAAAATGGTTCTTTTTCAATTAAATGTCACGAGCACATGTTGTAGTTTAATACTTCTTCGACAGATGGTGACTAAAACCCTGCAGGCCCGCACCTGCTTTCAAACATTCCACCCCTCTCAAACCTTCTGGAGAACATTTTGTATTTTGAAATTGATACATCCCATGTACTGAATATACGTATTACTATGTGTGCAATTATTCAATCCGAAGACATTCGTACAATTTTGATGACGCACTCAGGCATCAATGCGAATGGTACCCTCATACGCTCATAATTGATATACCTTAGGCCGGATCTGGCGACATCAATAAAATGCACCAATGAGAACGGCGTATTTTTAACAGTTGGAAACGTTGAAAATTCAAAACAATCCGAAACGGGCTGCCGTTGACTTAAAGTCGTTGTAAGTCAACGAACCTTCGTTATACAAGTGATTTATTTAATACATTATACACATCGCAATAAATATTTAGCTTCTACATTATATCGAAGGTAAGTGCAGATTAATTTACTTTTCTTTTGGTGAAAACACGATGTGATTGTAATGGACGAACGTTGTAACGGTCATTTTTTATACCTGTAATCGATTATCTTTGGGAAATATGCGTTTGATAGCTGTTATCGTCTATTAAATACAAGGTTTCCTATTTATAAATACTTTGTACCAAATAATAATTCTTTGACACAGTTGTACACGTGTCTGATTTTAGGCGGTAAAACTGTTAGGGTGTTGCACTAATGACTTGCATTTGATGCCCATTTTTCGCGAATCCTTTCCACTTTTTTGATAACATTGAAATCGCTGAATATCTTAACAGTCTTGTGTAATTATTTAGGATGGCTCCTGCTAAATCTGTAAAGCCCGTCACAGAAATATTCATAACCAAAAATCGCACGACAAGACTTGCCAGCAAGCCACTGTCGGTAGTAAATGGTAACCAACCGCGGGTGAAACGAAAGGCGGATGCCTCACCGGTCAAGGATACGATTGCCACCAAGCGTTCAGCATTAGGCGACGTTACGAATCAGAAGAAAACCCTCGTGCACATCAACAAAGCGAAGCAAACTATCACTAATGTTCCTAAGAAGGTCACAGTGAAGAGTACTGTCCTACCATCTGTTAAAACAGTTGTTAAACCGAAACAGAACGAGAATGCAGCTCCCCCGAATGCGCCCGCACAGAAAGTACAAACGCGTGCATCCCTGAGAAATTCGGATGTAAATAGCACAGCTTTAAAACCCAAAGAAACTTCGAAGGATCCAAGAGTCAAAACTAGACTTAGTAATGAGTTCGAGAAGTCCGAGGTGTCGCTTTATTCCAGTGCTTTGGAAGAAATGTGAGTATAGGTAGTTTCTGTTTTGTCATCTGATATTAATAGTCAGAAATTACCAAATGTATTCCATTCATCATTGCAATAACTCGTCTTTCACATATTACTGGGATATTGTAGGTAACTTCTAAGTGTAAGCCTCACCCTTTAAAGGGTTGTTGTTGTATAATAGTATGAAAATCTGTGGTATTTCTTAAAAAGGGTTTACTTATATGCCATAATGCATAATGATTATAATGGCAAGCTTCAGATTATAGCTCTTCAAGAGTGATGCCTTACCTTTTCTTGAACTCAATGCATTATCGATAGGTGATTTCACGTTTGTGTATAAATTATTTTCTTTGTATAGGGCGGCCAAATTTGGTCGTTAGTATGGAGTAAACTCAAACTATAATTGATAGAGAAAAAATGTCCTCACAGTCCCCTTGTATATTTTTTTTAATAAACTCAAACCTAAACTTGTCTTTTGTTTCTCACTTATGGGAAAACGTTCCATTTTTGGATTTTTAGATAAGAGCCTTTTATTTCTTAGTTTATTGAGTTATTGGTAAGTAATATGTTTATTACAAATGATTGTCACATAATCTACTATCTATTTTGAAAATAAGTATATGAGGTCAAGCAAAAAAGCTATTGGACCCAACCTTATTTTTTTAAATGGAACACCCTATATATTTTAATCTAAACATACATAAACAGACAGCATACTAAACTCTCTTTTCAAAACTATAGCACATGATATCAAAATGGATTTTTAAAGATTAAAAAAGGTTCAAATTTGTTGTGTAGTTTTTTAATCATGAAAGTTATCGGACCTAATCATTTTTTGAATGGTTTCAATTCAAAAAGAAAAAGAGAAAAACAGTTTTTACAGAGATTAAAAAAGAGGTTTAAATGATTCTTAATCTTTAAAAGAATCTTTTTGAATGATTAAAAAACATTCATAATTTTGGAATTTTAACACTTAAAGTGTGGGAATATATATCCTTATGGTCGGAAGGAGAGGGCCCATTTTCATTGATTAGCCTAATTTTTTGTCATATAAAACTCAACTTCTCAAAGTAATTTTTGATGTAGAGGAAACTGAGGGGGTCTATTTTGATATAGTGTTTCGATGATTTCTACGATTGAGTTGTTTTGTAGTTATTTAGGTCATAAATAAAACACTAATTCTATGACATTTTAACAGAAATGACTCGACTCGACTTAGCTCTGGACCACCAGTGACCCGATCACAAACTTCACAAGTTAGCAAAAGTGCAAACGTAACTCTGGTTGCGCTACAATTGGAAACTCAGCTCAATCTCGGTAACCATGAAGTTCCCGATGGCGTCACGGATTTCGACAAGGAGAATTGGAACGATGTCTTCCAAGCTTCTCACTACACCATGGATATATTTAATTACTTAAAATCGCGAGAGGTAAATATCTTTACCGCTCATGTCACCGTTACAAAAAAATCTTTCAGCCATTATACACAGTTAGAGACTATATGGATAGTCAGAGCTGTCTAACGCGTTGGATGCGTTCGTTATTAGTCGATTGGATGGTAGAAGTGCAGGAAAGTTTCGAATTGAACCACGAAACTTTATACTTGGGTGTGAAATTGGTAGATTATTATTTAAGTAAGGTGATCATTAGCAAAGAAATCCTACAACTCGTCGGTGCTGCCAGTATGCTCATCGCGAGTAAATATGACGAACGAATTCCCCCACTTATTGACGACTTCTTGTACATTTGCGACGGAGCTTACACACACAAGGAATTAGTTAGAATGGAGATTAACATCTTAAAAGTCTCCGACATTAACCTAGGCTTCCCTCTCAGTTATAGGTTTTTAAGGCGTTATGCAAGGGTACGGCATGCGTTTAGGTAGAAAGATATGCAGTTAATTAACTCGTGTTTTTAGTGTTTAAAAATTTCAATGCCAGTTTTGACTTTAGCTAGATTTATATTGGAGTACTCGCTAATGGACTATGGTACAATTTTTACACCGGATTCGAAATTGGCCTCGGCATCCTTATACCTTGCACTTAAAATGAAACAACTTCAACCTTGGAATAAGGCGCTTGAATTCTATTCCGGTAAGAATTTAAAAATTATGCAAGTCTACTGGAGAATTTATTTCAGGATATAAACTGGAACAAATTATGAGTACAGTTCACCTGTTAAACACAGGACTTCATCGAAAACCAAGAGAACAGCTAATGACCATACGAAATAAGTACAGTCATAAAATCTTCTTTGAAGTCGCGAAGACACCATTAATCAAAAATGAAGATCTATTTTAGATGCTGTAGTATTTTACTAGTTTTTATGACTAATGCGTTTTATGCATTGTATCGATTTTGTGTTTTTAGTTTAGATTTTATTGTTTATATAATGAGAAAAAAAACTTGTGCAAAGCAGGATTATCGAAATAGCACCTTAAAAAGACGATTGTCTATTTTATACCAAAACCATAATTACCAACCACATATCAAATATGTTTCTATACTTCTGCTTTTAATATTTAGTATACAGAGATTATAAAAATATACCACTTCCGCTCAAGTGTAACTTAATTTTAAAAGCATGTACATATTTACTTTGAAGGCACACACACGAAGCTGATTCAACTGCCATTTTATTTTTAAGATACTTTTCAGGTACTTTGGTTTTATGTTTTCTGTTTTTAATTTAATAAAAATAAATTTAATAAATGTTTATAAGTAGTTTTAGTGTTATTAGATGTAACTACAAATTCCATCAAACATTATACAATTTTTTGCCAAATGATAAAAACTGATTACCTGCCTTAATATGAATTATCCATAGACCTAACTCCTTTAGTCACATTTAATAAATTAAATTAGATTAATGCAAATGCATTTTTGTAAAGTTGAACATAATCAAGTTCGTCTAAAATATTTTAAGCTTTGTATGATTCTGTTATATTAGAAGTTGGAATGAGATGCCCTAGTGTTTGCTCTTTCTTTATAAGGTAAACGAGATGGACACTGTATTTCAGGATCTGCCTAAATAGAGCATAAACCGTATCTAATATATCAAAACTATCGAACCCAGTACGAAAATTACCCTATTCAACATAGAGGGGAGCCATATGTCGAATTTGAAGCGTAAACTCTCTGTTTAAACGGCAGATCCTCTCCGGTGCTTCACTTCAATTCATTTGGCAAAACTTTACAATAAATAAAATCAAGACAAAAACTAAAATTGTTTTTTTTTCCTAAAAAAACCCTCTTCCAGCACTTCACTTGCTTTCCTTTGCCCTTTCTACCTCTACAATCCCATATCATGTGCTCTGTCTTCTCTTCTCATTTCAGCATCTAAACGTCGCTATTATCTTTGATATTTTTTCTACCCTCCCTTAGGTATTATCACAACCTGCACTCCCTTATCAGCTCTTTGTTCCTACTATTTCTCATGAGCTCTCCACTTCCATCCTTTGTTGCTGTGCCTGGCCCTTTGCCAGTTCATCCTTTCGTATATTTCTCTGCTCCATTCCGCAGCCCATTTGTATCCATTTTTTTTTGTATAACGTTTTGTCTATTATAGTGTAACTTTATAGTGCGTAGTACATCTAATATTTTTGTTTACAGGTTCCACTAAGGCGGCCAACCGTCCCAAATTCAGCGGGACGGTCCCGTAATGGAAAATACTACTCCTGATAATTAATAAATATTTCACGAAATTTAACCGATGCGCCCTGCGAGTCCCGCTTTTGGAGTAGTGTTGCCCAAATTCACGTAAACGAGGCAATGCCAACGGGCAAAGTGAAGCAAAGCGTTAATGGTGACTGACGACTGACATGCAGTGTTTATACGTATATAACTTCGCTTTTCATTTCGCTAGTTTTGATCGCCGTTGCTTTTTAGGCGACCTGTATACTTATTATTTTTTATAAATGAGAGTTATAGGAATTTTTGTTGTTTTTATTATTATACAATATGATACAACAGCAATATTTAGTGCTAATAAAAAAATAATTTTGTCCTGCATTATTTTAAAAAGTTGGCCGGCGTAGTTCCACCAGCCATCCTTTTAGTGGAAATAAAAATCTATAACCTTCCTCCGTTTCAAAAATTATATATTCCTCGAATCGTACTCTGACGCTATCCTTATCTTCTCCATTTCTGTCTTCTCCCCTAATTTGTAACTTAGTGTCCTTCTGTTCAGACCACAAATACCCATTTGTGATCCCTTTTTTGTATTCCTTCTCCACTCCCATAATTATCTCCGTTCTGTACATATGCGTACCCCTCTCACCAATCCATCAAAAAAAGTATTTTCTTGCTTTAAAATCATTTTTGATACTCCTATATTCCCCACACCTCTCTTATCGTCGTTTGAGCTTCACCTATTCTTTCCTCCCTCCATTTCCATTCTATCTACTTTGTGCCCCCCCCCCTGGTTTTTCATCTGTTCTAGCCTTTGTTGCTATTATTATATACATGTGTCCTCGCAGAGCTGGTCAGAATACTTTCAAAAAGTATTTGAATACTAAATAGTAAATACTTTAGACAAATCAAAAGTATTTGAATACTAAATACTTTTATGTCCAGCACAAATAAATACTAAATACGATACTTTGAAAAGTATTCAAATACATTCAAAAATAAGTATTCAAATACTTTAGAATGTATTCGAATACTTTTGAAAGTATTCAAATACTGTCACAAGTATTCGAATACTGTCACAAGTATTCGAATACTTGACACTCAAATACATAAAAAATTTAAAATAGTATACTAGATAAAAGTCTTAATACTACTTAAAAATGTCAAGTTATACCTCGAGTTAGCCTATCGGGAAAACAGCGTTTTGGGCGCTGCATGTAATCCCTTTTCCCTGAGGTTAGCTTTTTGTTAAATATTTCTATTGTTATATACAAATTTAAGGGGAGTAAAAGCGTATTATTATTATATAGGAGGTACCAGGACCTTTCTTATATCAGTTATATCCTTAAGAATACGTGTACCAGTTTTCAAAGCGATCGTATGTCGTGCACATGACATGAAATTAATCCTAGCGATTTTGAAACAGATCCTTTTTTGTCCGTCCGTCTGTCCGTGTGCATGATAACTTGTTTAGAAACGTGCGATCGCTTTGAAAATTGGTACACATGGCCTTAAGGATATAAGAAAGGTCCCTATTGTTACGTAGACTATCGAGTCAAAAAGTTTCACAGGATCGTTCAGTATTCAGTTGTAATCGGATTTTTATATTTGATTTTGTGATAATGGAAACTTCCTCTAAACATTTCTAAATAGTTCTCAAATATTTGAATAACTTAAAAGTATTCAAATACTATGCGAAGTATTTAAATATTTCTCAAAGTATTCAAATACCTTGCGAAGTATTCGAATACTTTACGAAGTATTCAAATACTAAATATTTGCGAAAGTATTTGAGTTACAAATACAAATACTGTTTCCATAAAAGTATTTAATTACACAGTATTTGAATACTAAAAAGTATTTACAAAATCGAATACTGCCCAGCTCTATGTCCTCGGCATACACCAGGGACCATACCTTCTTCCCACTATATGATCCCTCCACTTTGACGGCCCTGTTTTGTCCTGTACCTCATTGTTCCACAAAATGCGTTCTGCGACACACTGGTGTAGCTAATTATTTAAAAAAACAAATTTATTTGAGAAAAATCAATTAATGAAGTTGTAAGAAAGAAAGGCACTCAGGGCCTAAAAACTAAGTACCACGCAAATGCGATCGATTGAAACACATTATTAATTAAATAAAGTTTTAATTATCTTGAAGTTAATAATATAATCATTAACATACACTCACAACTACGATCTTCTTAAACAGACACCAACTGGTATTGCTTCGGAAACTTCACTTTCACTTCTTTCTCGATTTATACAAATTGGCTTCGTAGTAATTACAGTTGTAGGAGGTAATATTGGCTTTCCGGTGGTGGATAAACTTCACTTTATCGAGTAATTGGAAACCTTATATGAAAGGTTTCACATAAGCGAAAACTGCTCGATAGACAACAAACTCAAACTCGTTCTACGAGTATTATGTCACATTTTTGTATGTAAATGTGACATAATGCTTTAGCTCACTCGAATTATAACACCGGCCGGTTGCAGGAAAGCGAATTATAATCAAAATCCTACATTATTTGCCAAATCTGAGTTTAAAAAAGAATTTTGACATTTGATTGGCTGCCTACTGCAATATAAAGCCAATCAAATGTTTTAATACCGGATTAAACAATAATCCTGGATTATTTTTTTTGTGCAACTAGACATCTTTTATAATGATGTATAATATAAACTCAATTAATAGAACACCAAAAAGCTCTGATTACGGGTCACTGCCATACACCCAAAAGCACTCACCAAAAAAAACCTTTAACGTCTGCCTCTTGTATTTAACACATTCTTTGCTTCTATTCCTTCTGCTCCTGTTTCTTTATCATTTTGTTAAATCTCCATCAATCAAAATTACTGCGCCGCGTCCTCGAATAAAATAACATGTGTTTCACCTGCTTATCTTGAAATTTAATTAGCTTTTACTAAGCGATTACGAACCCCTTATTCCAAGATCAACTTTTAAAATAATACTACGCAATTATTTCCAGATGTCCCTAACTCTTACACGTAATATACATATAAGTGAACACTAAAATAAAACAAAATACAAGGTGATTATTTAAACAAAATAAAACATCTAGTAATTCCTTTTACAAAATAACAATTAGCTTCAAATGATCGAAATTGTGTTCAATATCTAAATTAGTGTTTCCTCCACATTGCATATATATTCTGTATGCGGCCGTCATTATCGTGATGTATAATTTGCCATAGTCTTTATCACTTCTTTTGTTAATTCGATCTATTTTACCTCTTCCTTTCATTTTTCAGGTAATCCCCTCCGGTTTATTACTTGTGTAATAGTTTCCTCTTTTTTTCTGTTGCGAAAATCCCAACCCCATTCCCTCTAATTGATGCTTTAAACTCTTGTCTTGATATCTCATTTCCTACCTTTTTTTCCTACTTTCCTTGTAGTTAGTACCTTAATAATGTGCTACTTCCAGACCAATCCTCTATACTTTGTAAAAATATATTTTTACGAAAAATTACATAAACATCACAGAAGTTACTTTATCCCTTAAATCTATAACATTTTTTGGTATACAAGCGATCATCATTTTACGAAACACAATCGCTCCAAAATTAATATGTATAATATAAATAGATGCAAAAAATAAAATTTAACAAAACTGACATGGGTATAACTCATATGGATGGATAATTTATATCCAACAATCAACTGTTACGTCGGTTATAGAGTCGTATACATTTTGGACAAGATTCATTTCTACTCTTCCAGCATTTCGTATGAAAGCATGTTTTACATTTCGAGCATCGTGTGACATTCCGTAACTGCCAAGGGAATATAATGTGACTATCGTCGCATACTTCACAAATAAATCCTCGCGCTAAGCATAACTAAAACAATTGTCTAAGTGCAATTCTACGGAGATTAATTACCTACCTCACACTCTGACGTATGCCTACAGCACATCTCCACCAAGCACTTGAGCCTGTTATTCATTTGGCCGGATCGAACATTCACCAAATCCAACATTGAGTATACCTCGGGATCGTTTAACAAATACGGAGTTTCGTTTTCTAAATAATCTTGAATGCTATAGGTAGAGAAAATTAACTTCCAAGTGACGACAACGATTGTACTTACGTTTCCGCAAAACGACACGTCATCACGAAATCTTTCATGTAATGTAAACCGAGCCTATACTTCCTAGAGAGCACGAGATTTTTGGACCGTTTCGAGATATTTTTGTTCAGTTCGAATATTCGAAAGAGCGGATCGACGAACATTTGTTCCAAAAGTCGATAAGAAAAATTCGAAACGGGATATCTACAAGCATGCCACTTACAAATAACGAACCCCGCATGAGAGGCTACCTGGTAAAGTCCCATTTCTGTAGCACCCTTCCCGGAATTACCGCCAACTGATTGGTATGACAACCGGTACAAAAATACCGTCCCAAGTAGTCGCAGTACCGAAAACGTGAAGCATACTGTGGCGCCACTCTCATTCCGCATCCTGCACATCTGTAATTCTGCTTGGCCATCAACTGCATCCGTCTGGTCGAAAAATCGCAACAACAGCACGCAAAATTACTTTGGTTCAATTACAACCAACAGAGATTGCTTTGAAAGCACACTTACCGGGGGCGCGGGTGCGGAGTAAAAATTATTTGTGGACGGGGCGGCGCCCATTCTTGCGTTCCTCTGAGGGGCGTTACCGGACAGTCCTCGTAGTCGTCCGGGCTGATTGGCAGACTTTTTGGTAACGGAAGCAACGCCTGTGGCGCATCCTCTTCGGACACTAACCATTCCAAATCGGACGCTCTGAAAGTTATCATGTAGGTTCAATGTAAGAGGAGAATGTTACCTTGGTAACTGTTTTTCGTTAAATCTACTGATTAAGGATAGCGCAACGCCTTCTGCTGACAATATATCGGACGCTCCATCCGGTGCGCCTCTTGGTTTTTTAAAAAGATCAGATTCAGCATATAGGGAAGCCATCGATACTGATAATCCGCTCAAATCTGCCAAATTCGCTGCTTCATCTATTTCTATATCGTCGACATCATCCGAACTTATACTGTGGGAAGGGGTTTCGGGTGATGTTGATAAAGGGCTGACGCTCGCTTCCGTAGTTGTAGCTTAAAATGAAATTTTGAATTTTAAAAAGTGAAGAAAGCTGGATTTGCTTTGGACATTTCAAATAAAAGGAGACAAAGCGATTTTTTTGAACAAATTTCCCCTAAAGCAAAATATCATATGTCCGCCTGTCTGTTTCCACTCGAGACATTTTGAAATGTATGTTTTTGACCTACTTATCTGGACTAATGGTGAAACATTCTGAATTCAAAATTGAAAAAAAATATTGATTTATTAATTCCTAAAGGGAAATAATTAAATACTTTTTGGAAAATTGCCCCTCGGTTTTCCCAAATTTATATGCTAACCTCAAATTACAAAGTTAATTGTGCGCACGCGCATTTTTCATACTCGTTTTATTTTTGAAAAAAAGAATTGCAGTTAGAATCGGATTTTTAATTTTCGATTCACCATAACAGATGCGTTGCTTGGTTATACACGAGAACAGTGTGCAGTTACATTGTTTATGGGCAACAGAAATGCGTGTCAAAACCCCCTTCTCAACACTGGGGAAGGAAAGGCGTTTATAACACATATTGATACAAGAATGGATGCAACAATAAAAACAATTCTTTATTACTACATTAATAAATGTCGGGATGGTTCTATACAATTTCGCAAAGTATACAGGGTGTCCCAGACCGATTTCGATTATTATTGTCTCTATACAAATTTACAACAGTACACTCCTGTGTATTTTGCCAATTCAAGACTGAATCTGTACTTATTTCTTTTAATGTGACCATAATGTAGAAAACAATATGAGTGTGCAAAACCTGCAGCAATGGTGTAATACTTTTCGAAGTGCAAATATAGAGTCCTTTTGACCAGTCTAACACATGCAATCCACCTGGTCTGGGACAGCCTGTATAATAATCTAAACGTAAAAAATACAAGTACACTAATAAATTCCATTCTCCTAGAAAAAACAATCCATGAGTTTCCCTCCACCATTCAATTTTTTTAGATACTTACCTGTTATACCCTGCCTTCCTATGAAGCCTATCGCATGGAATGTTAATAGAACAATTTACTCGAATCCCCTAATAGGTAATGATTTTTGAGAAATGGGTGCTCACACATACTGAGGCCTCCCCATGACTAAAGACGGCCGTCTCCTCACAATGTCACTCAAGCCACCCCACCCTCGAGGTGAACTGGAAGCGTTGGCAGAGCAGGCGGCTCTGATTGTCGCCATGTTTGGCCAGAATTCCCCATCATAGATGGGATAAATGGCATAGACTGTGAAATCTCGTCTTAATTGTGCAAGTGATGCTCTTAGTTTCAGTTTAAAAACATTTTCGATGAGCTGAGGGAAGACCAAATGATTTCTTTGTTTTTCAAGGTAGTTCAATTGAAACCTTGCTTACAATCAAACTTGTCTATACTGTATTCATTTTAAGAAGGTAGCGGTAGAAAGCATAGGGAAGCTTTGACCTTCACTGTGATTGGTTAAAACACGAGTGTTACAATGAAACGTAAAACGACTGAGGAATTTTGTAAGGTGGTTGTTTATGTTGCCGACTAAACGGCCGAAGTGTCATTAGCTGTTATTGTCAAAGATTTATTTCTGTTCGCTGTGCTGAATATTTGTACTTTACAATAATTTGGTGCCATTTTATATTTTTCCTGTGTGTGTCACAGCGCCATCTACTACCTTCTTATACTGAATGCAGTATAGAACAACTAGAACTGAAAACTGAGTTATTTGGTATTCTCTGGCATACCAAGGGAGTACCATAAAATGCCTAAAGGTGCCAAAAAGTATCAGGGAATTACACTAGAGAACCCACCTCTTTGTTGGTAGGAAAGTTTAAAGCAATAGGTACACTGAAAAGTGTACATGGCACACTTACTATCAGCTTTTTTGTCACTTAAACTGGGCGCCCACATTTTCCTGTGCCTCTCCTCCAATTTCTGCCTTCGCCTCAACCTGATCCTCTGTTTCAAATTCATGATCTCCTCGTCGCTTTCCTCCACTTGATCGTCTGCGAAATTGAAGTCTCGTTTACACCTAATCTGTTCCATGGCGGATATCATAGCCTCCGACACGCTAAAGTGCGCATTTTCCCTATCCAGTTCAGCATTCGACCTCGCGAACTGGCTAGATGTTAAAAAGGCGGTGAGTGTTTGTCCTTTGGTGGGTCGAGGGAAGTATCTACAAGTTTTGAATCAGTTAACATTCTGGAGGATGTTACAACTAACCCAGTTGCCATAGGTAGGACACTCATGCCGCCATCTTCGATGAAGGTCTTCTTCGGCTGTTTCCTGTAATCCTTCTGCCCGGCTAAGGCGGTTAGGAAACTGTATTCCGGTACGGAACGCGAAGTGTTCAATTTTAAGGGTGACTTGTGTTCGGAGCACGACTTGACCGATGTATTGCTCAGAGTATCGGTCCAGGCACTTTCAGACGGAGTATGTTCGATTATATCGCAGTTGTTTATTATAACGTGTCTCACTTTCTTTTTAATGAACGACGTAGTGGGCCTTGCCTTCTTCATGCTGGCTTTTAATGGAGGAAACTGTGTTTTTGATTTCCCTAGGTATCTAGGATGAATGGGTGTGCTTGGAGTCGTACGACTTTGATTTGTCATTTTTTTGCTATTTGCATTTACTGATAAATTAGGCATGCTGTTCCAAGGTTTCATTTTTCCAGTGAATTTCTGCTTCCGCAAATCCTTGTCAATTGCTCTCACGTTCTCTTCTAATTGATGTATCATTTTTGTGTGATGTTTCATTTCTTGAATACTTTTAAAGTGACTGTCAGGAAACGATGAGCATCTTCTGTGTGACTTCTGGTACTTCTGCTCATTGATCTTACTTAAAAAAAGACACGGATTTATTTCAGATATGAGACTGGGGTGATTACGTTCGACTGAACGTAGACATATTAACACTGCCTCTGCGTACTTTTCCTGGCACAAGAATGCCTGCTGCTGATAGCAAGATTCAACATGCTTTTTATCCGACAATAACCAGGACAATTTCTGTGACAATGAATGGTTTTCAATGCTCCGATACAGCCATACTGCAGCTTTGTCACTCTTTAAATGTTGTGGTATGTGTGATTTATATTCGCAATCGATAATGGGAGACGTCTTGACATTATTAGGCTGAAGCCATTCTAAACCTTGAATGAACTTCCAATAATCCGACGTGGTCTGAAATTAGTGCAAAATAGACACTAAAACTATCAAAATAAGATACTAACATCCTCGCTTACAGCTTTGCAACCGTGCTTAAATACTTTCTCGGTAGCATTATACAACCGATTCAATCCTCCATATATCGACCAAACATTCGTAACTTGTGCTACAAGCAAACCTTCAACTGTACACTTTAAATCCAATAGTAGCTGTTTGTATTTCCCCGTATAATCGACTGTTAAATCAGTCATTGCTGGTAATTTAGTCTACAATTGATAACAATTTATTAGAATTCCTATTCACTTCCGATAATTTGTGTTACTTTGCTTCTTGATAAGGAGTGTTGATAGTAATGTATGAAAATACGCTCATTACGCACCACTTGGTAAAGAGAAACTTGAATTTATTATGTAAATGTCAAAAGTGCATTATTGGATCACTCTGTATAATGTCAGATTTGAATTTTTTAAAGTGAAATTGCTTTCCCACGCACATTTTTCCATCAATTAAAATCATATATTAAAATTAATCCAATTGTGGGGGGCCAGGGGAGCTCGGGTAATTTATTGTAATTTTATGAATTTTAGGTGTGACGTATGGATTTCAGCATGCACCGCTGGTACACGAGACACTTCCAGAAATATTACAATAAAAGTAGTTCAAAAGACTCAATTTCGAATTTCTGTATTCCATATACGGGAAGTGTACAAAGAAAATTAGGATTATTTCACCTTAACATTGAGACATTTGTCGCAGCGCGCAGCTTGATATTAAGTTTAAATATTCCGTTCCATTAGTACTGTAGTGTAGATTTAAATGATAAGCATCAAAGCTGAATACAATTGTTTTACGTTCTATCGCTATATATGAATGAATAAAAACAAATGTAGGTAAATATGAACCAGGTTGCTTATTGTATGGGTTTACCTAAAATGATTCATTTTAGAATTTCTTTCGAAACAGGTAAAGGAACAAACAAAAAACACTGCGATTGTTGCATGAATGGGGATTATAATCTCTTAATTAAGATACACTAGGTCATTGAAAATTCTCACAAGCGACACTGAGAGAATCTCAAGGACTTTGGAAGCGTTTGAAAATCTCTTGGAAATTGTATGCAAAGGTAAAGGCTCCTCAAGGATTCATAAATACTCTAATGGCTCCAAAAACCACTTATATAGGATCTCCAGAAAATATACATTTGGTATTAAAGTCTATTTTTGAAAATAGGTATTATCTATAAAGTGTAACATATACTGGCCCTTTTTAATGTTTGAATCCAATGCCATTTGTTATTCGATGATACCCGCACAGTTGCCATCTTGTATAATTAATGCCCTCGTAAGCTGTAACGTATATACGACCGTGGCTGTAACAAACAATCTTCACCGCTATGTGCACGAGTCACCTCCAAAAATGTAAACAACTGTGAACATAACCTGAATCCTCATGCCAAAATAGAACTATTTATTTTTATTTTTTAGTTATTTTAAAATTTAAGTCATAGAAGACAATGTCTTACAGATATTCTACGGCACTGTCTCACATAGTATTAGCAGGAACAGGAATTTATTGCCTAAATCGTTACCACGGGGCTAATCTACCTGTGTGTGCATACTCGATCATAGTAACAAATTCACTTCTCGGTGTTTGGAGATGGGGTAATTAGCTGTTGGTAATCCATTTTGATAACTCATTTACTCTTTTAGGTAATCCTCACTATGGGCATAAAATTGATCGACTGTACAATTTCACTTCACTTTTACAAATATTAACGTCACTGCCTCTCGTTGTCACACAAGTCTGGCTAAATTTAGGTTATAAAGAGGAACTGGCCGTGTTGCACTGTGGAGCTTCCATTCTTCCATTTTGTTTATACCTAGCTGGTAGATCTAAGGAAGATATTATCGATGCAAGTATTGCATTAAACGTTATATCACTGGGTGTCATATCTTTACTACATGAAAACTATTACGGTGTAGCGGCGTCAATATCGTACTTCTTTAACCACTTTTTCTTAAGAGAAGGTCAATTTGATGTCGATATACCTATCACAGATTTGTATAACTACGGTCTAAGTTTTTTTTGTTATTTCTCCTACAGATCTTTATAAGTATTTTTATAAATTGTATATTGTTGACTAATCTGCATCTCGAAATAATCCATATCAGAGAATCTGTTGATATATTTTTTGTCTATTTTTATACATATAACTTGTATTGGAGATTTATTAATATACATGTTTATACGTTAGTGTTATCCACTTTTACATCTACATTGGGGTAAAAAGATCTGTTTCAATCAGGTAGTTTTGTGGATCTATCAGAGTTGTTGCATCGCAGAGAGCTTTTATGCCCTTTTGTAGGAGTATTTTAGAATATTCCCAGACCTTAATTCATAGATATTGCTAGGATAAGAGAAAAACAATGTAGGTGTCACTAATTGTCTTAGCTCTAGACAATTTTTTACAACGATCTGTGCATTACATAGATGGGTTTCAAAACGTGTGTCAGGTGCATTTTAAAGAATTCACACTTTATTTTAGGCGTTTTTCAAAGGGTTCCTGGGGCGGGACAGTAACACAAAATAAACGAAGTATAACAAAGTGGGGTGGCGGCAAGACTCTGTGATCGATGATTATTCTTCATTTTTTTACAGCTTGAAACCATTGAAGTCACATCATCATACATAGTAGACAGATCACTTCCTTCATCGACTTCTAATTTGAAATATATATCGCATTGTAATATTGGGAAAACTGTCCATAATTGAAAATTTTAGAGCAAGAAAATAAACAAATATGATACGATTATCAAACAAATGCTACGGGAGCATAATATTATAAATTATAATAACAAGTGATTAATTATATGCTGTGATGATGGTGACATTGATTTACCATAATTATATGATTATGCACACTGTGTATAATCAATAATGGTGATTACCACTGTAGTTGTAGTTCATTGTATTTTCCGTAGTTCTAACGTCTAGTCACGTGGTTTTTTGCGAAAGTCGATGTGATTTAAAACCTAACCACATTCTTTTACCCAATTTTTAAAATATGACTAAAGGGAGCAACAAATTAACTTACGATAATAAAATTATTTTAGCACCGATGGTTAGGGTGGGAACACTTCCCATGCGACTATTGGCATTAGATTATGGAGCCGACATAGTGTATTCGGAGGAATTAATCGACTGGAAGTTTCTTCGTACCATACGGCGAGTTAATGGTATAAGACACTCATCCTCGCATTACGTAGTAACTTTTTTTTTTTAAGACGTACTTGGAACTGTGGATTATATTGATAGATCTGATGGTACGGTAGTGTTTCGTACTTGTGCAAAAGAGAAAGAAAAGGTAGTCGTACAATTGGGAACGTGTGACTCGGAACGTGCACTTCAAGTGGCCAAATTAATGTTGGTAGAGGTACTAACGCGAACTGATAACAATTGGCATACTTTCAGTGAAAATGACATAGCCGGTATCGATATAAACATGGGTTGCCCCAAGGAATTTTCTCTGAAGGGAGGAATGGGGGCTGCGTTACTTAGACAACCGGAAAAGGCCAAAGCGATTTTATCTACATTAGTACAAAATGTAAAAGTACCAATTACTTGCAAAATACGTGTCTTATCTAATGTTGATGATACAGTAAGCTTAGTTAAAGAGTTAGTTTCGACAGGTATCGCTGCTATAGCGGTGCACGGGAGGACCAAAGACGAACGCCCACAACATCCCAACCGAAATGACACACTGAGAAGAATTGCAGAAAGCACTTCTGTACCGGTCATTGCTAAGTAGATGTGTGTTTTATTAGTACTTGGGAACTAACTCTTTTTTAGTGGAGGCTCACGGGAAATCGAGAAATACGCAGACATAAAAAAGTTCCGTGATGAATGTGGATGCTCTAGCGTAATGATAGCTCGAACAGCCCAAGGGAATTGTTCAATATTTCGTCGTCAAGGACAAAAGGAATTGGACACCGTAATTATCGAATATCTAAAGTATGCCGTTGACTACGACAATTCGCCTAGTAACACTAAGTACTGTATTCAAAACATGCTCAAAGAGTTGCAAGAGACTCCGAAGGGTAAGAAATTTTTAGAATGCCAGACATTGGAACAAATTTGGTAAGAAAAAACGGGAATAATTACATGACACAATTCACTGTGTTTAGTTTCTTGTGGGGTCTTGGAAATTACTGCAGAAAGAAAGAATTGGAATATCAGGCGAAAGGTAACCTAGGCAGACGTCAAGTGACTCCCAATATGTTCGATCCAAGCCCGAAACGTCTCAAACTGGATAGCACAAGCGAAATAGTCGAGCTAGGTTGTGCATTTATTCGGGCAAGCTACTCACAGGATTCCGACTTGCCAAAAACGAAGTTAATTGCGTGGTGTAGTAAAAACAAGATTAAATCTCCCACGTACGAAACCATTCACGAGGATAAATTATTTAGATCAATTGTGACATTCGATGGAAAAAAATATAGCTCCACATTCTGGTTGGTTATGTAGATAGTTGAGGTGCTTTCAATGTAATTTGTTTTATAGGGAGAAAAATAAGCGGTTTGCGGAACAAGGGGCTGCGCTTGCATGTTTATGTTCCTTAGGGTTGGTGGATATTGATAGTTTAATTGAAAATGGTAGTGTTTTGCAGTAAAAGCATCAGATGTGATCACTTTTGGCATAATACTCCAGAATCCTATGCAATGTATATTATAACACATTTGCTTTGTATATATAATATATTTTTTATTTTTGTGTTATTTTATTGTAGGTATACATCTGCCAAGAATATATTGGCACAAAAAATGTGAAGTATCTTTCTTTATTCACTTTAAGTTGGTCCACAATCACGCCCAATGGGTGGGAGTGGGGTAAAACAGTATGGCATCCCTCCTTTCTCCAATTTTTCCTGACTTAAGCCTGATTTTTGGAGCGTAATTCCTAAACCCAATAAGTATTTAGGATCCTACACCTAAATAATGTTGCCTGCTCATCTTGTGCGTCTTCTCTGAGCTGACTTGCGTCCATGTACTTTTTAAATCTCCTCATTCTACGATCCTTTAGACAGTTTAGACCTTCTTCGCCTATTCTTCCCTAAGGAACCCATTGAAATAGCTGGTATGCTTGTTTATTATACTTATTTTAGTATCCATGCAATTTCGAATGTCTGCGTTTGTTTATACCCTGAATACTTGAGATCTTTAGGCTGAATCTACTCCAACTGTATTGATTCTATCTAGACGACGCCGTACCTACTTCACTAGCCCTTCCTATGCGCTATGTATGCTTTTTAGCTCGTGCATTTCATCAGAGGAGCTCTTATCCCATGACCGTCACCTGCTTGGCTAGCAGAATTCACTAACTCGCTGCTAATCTCTGCAGTTCCATCAATATTTGCGGCACTGCAAACTGCTTTATACGGCATTCCATGGGCGTTCATCATGGCACATTACGGCCACGACGGTTTTCACGCTCAACGCATCGATGCAGATATATCCAGAAGCAAGCATGCCCTGATAAAAACTGCGTCATTAGAAATTCACCTCTCCATGCTTCCGTTTTATCCAGATCGACAGATCCGGTATGAGTCCATCCACCATTCTCCGCTAAAACCCATTCTCTTTGCTACTTGAATATCGACTCCGTTCTCGCTGGCTTCCGAATTCCTCTGGTGCCCCTCTGATGATAACACTCATTGTGCTCCGCAAGATTGATGCCGATCGGGATCATATTTCAGCGATGACGCATAATACTGCCCACGATGAAATTGTCCTGCACGCACTCGCGACTCCTCCTGTTTAACATCACCCGATTTCTCTTGGTGCCCCATGCTGTGACTCGACGCAATGGCTTCCTAAAGTAGCTACTGTCAACGATCGATTCTTAACGTCGATCGTTACCACAGCGTATTGATTACCCCTTCGCTTCTGAGTGGACGCTTTCTCCGCTCTAGCAACCATACGGTCTGGATAGCATATCATCCACCGTCGACTGCCCTTTCCGAAAAGCGTTCTGCATATTCGACAAGTGGTGCTGGCCCTCCGTGAATTTCATCAGTTTAGTGAGGACGATCCTCTCACATAGCTTCCCCAGTATATCCAGCAAGCAGATGCGCGTATACGATTCTATAGATTCTCCGGGGGCCTTTCGTGGCTTCTTTGTCAGCATGAACTTTTACTCCATCTAGGCATTTTTGCAACATCGTCCTGAACATTTCTGGAGACGCTTGAAGCACCGCTTTCAACACGTACTACGCTCATCGGGATACCATCGATCTGAAGCCCGGCGCCTTCTCCACCTTAAGTTTCTTTGCTATTGCCACGAGCTCTTCGTTGGAGATTTGCAACACACCCGCATACCTGCGTGACTATCATTCCCCTTGCCGTACGATACAGAGGTGGCCATGTCACTGATGGGTCGTGTGTAGGGAGCAGTCCCTCCATAATATGGCTTTCAAATTTTCAGGATTTAGCTGCACGGCCGAATGTTGGGCATTTCACCGTCGCCATTACGATACGAATACTTGCGTCGCTCTAGGGATTGACATCAGCGAGTCTCGGCACAGGTTCTTGTAGCAGTTTTTCTTGGTGAGTTTGATCTCCCTTCTCCCACTTCAGTACAGCTCTAGCCGCTTTAGAACTCAGATCTGCGTACGTCTCAGTCTGCTGTGCCTATTGCTTTCTGGACCCGCCTCTGGCCCCGAGACACCTCGTAGGATGCTAAGTTTCTTGTGCCACCAGTAAACTTGCCGCGGTTTATTTTTTGGTTCCAGTTTCCTCGACATCGTTGCATCGCATGCCTGCACCAACGTATCTGTTAGCTAATTTGCATTCGTATCGGCTGCTCCAGCTTCCCCCAGCGCAATATCTCGACAAGGAGGTCCTTGTCGAAATACTGCACTTTCCACTTTATTTTGAAGGCTCTCGTTCTCCGTGCTGCTTCATAGTTCTGTTGACCAATGCATCAGTATCAGTACATACATACTCCTAAAATGCTATGCTACCGGCATTCCATTTAATAAATTTCTCCCAAGATTCTTTGAGGGTGTTTTCAATTTGATTATCCGTCTTACTTTACTTTGAATATCAATAGTCCAGTCAAATTACGGTTTGGGCTGGATGTTGTCACTTCACTCAACGAAACCAAGCGCATCCTATGTAAAAAAATCCGCTGAATCGGAAAATCATAGTCTCCCTGGCCGGAAACGGCCGGAACATATTGTTATTAACAAAAAACGAACAAAAAAGAGAAAATGTCGTGTTTTTTTCGCATTTGACTTCGAATATCTCGTTAACTATCGCCATAGAGTAAATATGCCCATTATAGAACATTATCTTAGCTATATTTGCATCGCAAGACGGCATAGCGTTTTAAATGACACCACTGATTTACGTAACAATTATTTTATGAAAACTCTAATTCGTATATTGTGTACAATAGGCAAAAAAATTTCATATTTATTGTGTGCATGTTTTTGAGCATATGAGAAATACATGCATGTACGGGGTGCTTGGATTTGGCCGAGGCCTACGATACTTACAGGCCGGAGCGCTCGAAAAAGTCACGTGACGTTAGGAGTCATATGAAATACATTACGGCTTATGGAAAATCCGTGCGCGGCTCCACTATTTATTTTATTTCATACTGTCCGGTAGATGTTCGATTACACTATCATTTTGAGTCCGGTAGGTGAGTTATTACAGCATCAGAGCCGGTAAGTGTCGCTAAGCAACACTTACCGGACTGTTATTTGTATACATCAAATTTGACATCTTCACACAATTAATTAAAAACCCCAACATAAATTTGGCTGTATTTCTTTATTTCAAACATTAACATTGATTGTAATGAAACAATTTGTATTGCCCTTAACACTACGCCTGGGTTATTACTGTATGTCGAGTTAGTAATGTTTGATTCCTTCTGCTGTAGAACTTCAATGAAATTTTCGCCGCCTTGTATCAGTTGTATCATATGGGCAATCTTAACTTTTCCTTCTACCGAGCCTTCGATGTATTTTTCTGCCGTCGATGAGCTTTTCCATGCTCCATGACGCTTTAACACCGAAACCCAAGCAAAAAAATCTCAATTCAAAAACTTACTGCGTCCAAAAAGTATGCCAACATGACTTTTTCCTCTACTTGTTTCGCCCCATGTTCGTTCCTCAATTGGCAAAACACTTAGTACTCTTTTTCATACCTTGCGGCCGACTTCTTAGGAACCAACTTTTCGGTTGCTTCATGAGATTTCGACAGGATTGTATCGGGAAAAGTGGAACATCCCACAACGTTTATAACGTCAATTTTTCAGTGAAAAAATTCAATTGTCAACAAACTACAAACTATAGCAACGGCCGTTGCCACAGAAACAAGGTAATGCGATTTTTACAATTTGATGAAATTTTGTAATCTTTGAAATGAAATAATGATACAAAACAGACTTACAGTATGAAATAAAATACGTTACGATATACGTCCGGTAGTACTTGTAACAGTACTCGTTTAAGACATTCTTGACTCGGCTCCTGACGTCGCCTCGTCCATAATGTCTAACTCGTACTGTTACAAGTAACCTACCGGACTTATAACGTAAATAACTATTTTTACTCCGGATCCGTTCAACATAGAGCCACGAAATTTCAATGAGAGCTTGTCAATAGTACACACAATCAAATTATGGTGTTCGTTAATTTTTAATAACACTAAAAATAATTAATTTTTAGGTTTAAAGTATTGAAGATAAAACGATGTTAGTAAATCCGTGTTTTTTTATCTTTACATCATCATATTTCTTTTTCTAGGAACTATATCATTATAAACCTTTCGGCGTCTTAAACTAGAATGATATGCGCTTCCATTTATACGTATATAATGTCTTATCTTGTATTAGTGTAGTTTTAACAGGCCCTACAAAATCGCGCATTAATTATTCGCGCAGAGCAAAATTCACCATGCGAGAAACTTTTTTGTTATTGCTATAATTGTATCACATATATCGAATGAATTGTGGCCAAAGGACACAAAAATGTTCTTCAGAAGGAATTTTTAAGAAATGGTCTCTTGTTTCCTTTTTTTCAGCAGCTGAAGTAAATAGCGCGATTTCAAAAATAAGTGAACGCGCAAAGGAATTATTATGTTTCAAATAATTGTTAGTAATCCATTTTCAAATTGTGTTTGTGAGATTCAAATTTACATTAAACTATAAAATTAAAGATATTATCAGTCAAAAGTATGGAGTATATCTTATATCTTCGTTAATATGAATTTTGCCGTACATAAAGTATTTTAGTTATACCTTCTCGTGTTAAAGTGAAATGGGAAATTTGCCTTGTCCGCCTAAGAGGCCTGGTAAGTATCGTAGGCTTTCATCTTCATTCTATCAATAAATAAAAATAGCCTTTTGAATAAGGAAGTTTTAAAAAATAGCATTTTCTATCCAACTTACAGCAGTTTTAGTAAAAAGTACAGCTTGTAAGGAATAGGCAGTGCCGTTTTTTTTTTCGTTTTCAGAAGTAACTGTTGTGTCGTTTTCTAAATCTTAGAATATTTCAATACTTATATTTAACATCGCCTCATCTTCTGCTAAATTACACGACGAAACAAAATCTTTGATGCAAAATACTCCTCTTGAATCTCACAAACACAATTTGAAAATCGATTACTAACAATTATTTGAAACATAATAATTCCTTTGCGCGTTCACTTATTCTGAAATCGCGCTATTTACTTCAGCTGCTGAAAAAAAGGAAACAAGAGACCATTTCTTAAAAATTCCTTCTGAAGAACATTTTTGTGTCCTTTGGTCACAATTCATTCGATATATGTGATACAATTATAGCATTAACAAAAAAGTTTCTCGCATGTTGAATTTTTCTCTGCGCGGATAATAAATGCTCGATTTTGTAGGGCCTTTTAAAACTATACTAATATCAGATTAGGCATCATATACGCATAATTGGAGGCGAATATCATTCTAGTTTAAGACACCGAAAGGATTATAATGATATAGTTCCTAGAAAAAGAAATATGATGATGTAAAGATAGAAAAACGCGGATTTACTAACATCGTTTTATCTTCAATACTTTAAACCTAAAAGTTAATTATTTTTAGTGTTATTAAAAATTAACGAACACCATAATTTGATTGTGTGTACTATTGACAAGCTCTCATTGAAATTTCGTGGCTCTATGTTGAACGGATCCGGAGTAAAAAAATAAATAGTGGAGCCGCGCACGGATTTTCCATAAGCCGTAATGTATTTCATATGACTCCTAACGTCACGTGACTTTTTCGAGCGCTCCGGCCTGTAAGTATCGTAGGCCTCGATTTGGCCCATTTTTAATAAGTTTATTGCACATGATATATAGTATTAAGTATAGGCCAACTGTGCACAGTTTGAACCAAATCGGCTCAAGCGATTGGCAGTTACCTATGGTGTTCACGGACGGACAGACGGACACCATCGACCTCCTACGAGTATATAAAGCTTGTATCGCTTTGTTCTGTAGCTTAATTGTCACTTATAATTGCACAAGAGGTTTGTATTTTACCGAGTAAATTTGGGTTGTTTAGGTAATGAAAATCTGTTGCCTAGCAATTAGACGAGAAAAACTGTCAACTAATAAAAATGCGACACCGCAGGTGGAGCATTTTTAGGTTGACAGTTTTTCGAGTCCAATTGCTAAAAGGAAACAGATTTGAATTGCCACAACCCAAATTTACTCGGTTTAAATACAAACCTCGAGTGTAATTCGGCAGGACAATTTAACGAACAAGAAATTCACCAACTAATCAATTATTGACAGACGTCAAACTAGTCATATGGGAAAGGATAATGCGATAATTGGTTCGAAAATGAATAAGTGAAAAAACCACTAGTGCATTTGTCGCTGGAAAAGTTGCAGGTAACTTTTGCCGCTGTCAAAGTGACAATTTCACTGCGGCTTATGCGATTTTTTATACATGAGTTGAATTGTCATTACAAAAAATAGTTATTTACATTATTAGTGCGGGAACAGTTATTTTGAAGATGAGCGCGAAGTTTGGCGGCGCGAGTGCGCAACGCGCACGAGCGACGCATCTCGCGCGAATCAAGCAAATACTGTTCACGCACGTAAAATGTATTCTATTTTTTGCACGGATTAGTTAAATCGAATTGATATAAATTCAAATCCTTTTCGCGTGAATTTTGCGACATTATAATTCGTTTGAAAAAATCAAGTCCACTATGCCGATAAAGTAGAAATTTATAAATTTAAAATGTCAATTTATTGTTCAAAACTTCTGGTTTAAGCTTATTTTTGCCCGTGTACTACAGGGAATGATGTAAAGTGTATTTATATTTTCTTTTTTACTCTTCCATCATGCTACTTATTAGTTTATGATCCGCACTAAATAGATAATTTCGTTGAATTTTTAGGCACTAGTGCGCGAAAGTAGATAGTCAATTGTAAAATTGACGTTCCCGACGTTCGTCTTTGATTGGGAAAACGCGATTTAAAACGAAGGAGTGCAAAAAAGAAATTTCAATGCTGTGGCGCCTTGGTATAGAATTCGGTTTAATTTTGAGGTTTTCGTCAACGATTTGCTTAGAAACACCATAGAGTCGGTAAATTTGCCATGTAACAAAATCCAGAGTGTGTAGCACCATGGACTAAGAAAATTGACGAGAAGTATTTCAGAAAAATTTCATCACATACGTCATAAGAAGTAATTTATTACATAATCATAAACGTCCGACTTCAAATTCTATTATAGAATTATAGATAAAAGTGACAATCGCCTTGTAATGTGATCGTCATCTACGCCTACGTAGATTTTTGCTTTATCTTCAAGCCATAAAAGTAATTCAATCTTCGTAAAGTAAGGAAGTAGGTCAGCGAAGAGAGAATTTTCCTGATTTTTCTGTGCGGAACTGCCGACTGCCCAGTGCCGAATCAGTTCAGATGTAGTATTTTTTGAATGCGTTTCTAGTCTATAACTTTTGATTGAGAAGTCTGATCGAAAAAGTATGAATTGTTTTGGATTCTACGCACCCAAATTAATAAGAAAAAGTGTTTTCCTGAGAAATTTTGGTGCAGTCGATTTTTTGAAAAAAGGAAGGTTATACACTGCCTTTTCTTTTGCCCCGAAAAAAAATACTATTGTATATAATATACATAGGGTGACCATAATTTTTCAACAAGAAAAAAGTACATTTATAATTTATAAGGGAATGTACTGCTAAAGCTAATACTCTAGGAAATTTTTCTGGTCACAATTTTACGAATCTAATCAAACAGTAAGAAAACAAAGTTTTTTTTAATCAAACATAGGTACATAAAATATGTGTCTTTATATGTATATATAAATTTTAAAAGTTAATTTTCTTCCGACGATCCTGCCTGAACATTTTAATCATCATTTTGGTACCAGTCGTACTTTTTGGAACCATGAATTTACTTCAGAAGTTGCCATTTCATCGATAGGTTGCTGAACAATGGATCAAAATACCTACAACTAAGCAATACGCCAAAGCATCAAAGACATGCAAGAAGTCATAATTATATTTCGTTTGGACAAAAACTATGACTTAATTTTGTGTAATTAAGAAAAAGAGTACATTTATGTGTACTTGATAAATCGTAAAGGACAATAGGACAGCGTTTCAAAAGAAAGTACTGTCCTACTAAAAAAAGTACATATGGTCACCATAAATATACATCTTTATATACAATGGTAGTATGGAATGGTATTGCGTATTGATCTTTTCTCTCACAAATACACTATACCATTGATTATATACTTTCGTAAGTATATAATCAATGACTATACTTACAGCACTCCCACATTAGTGAATTGCGCAAAAGGACCTTGTTTGCATAAATTCCACACAAAATTGCTAAAGCAGTGTTAAAACGGTCTACGTGTACCACTAATCCAACCAAAACGTTAGAAATTATACGCATAATCAGTTATATTTTCTCACTGTACCTATTTAATTTTCATTGCTAGCTAAATTCAAATAAAGTTTGTAATTGGGTAAAGGTAAGGCGTTAAAATAATAAAATAAATAGGTCTATGGCCTGAAAGAATTAAAAGACTCCTCACATCACATTCCGGTGATTAAATATAATGCTGACAGTATCATGGTCTGTGTCTGGTGCAAAATAATGACGTAATTCAAATCTCAACGTTGTTGTCAGTATATTTAAATCTTAGAGTAGGAAAGAGTGAGTCTAAGATTTAAATAGTTTACATGCTGCTTATACGGTAATACAGCGATACAACAGCTTTGAAGAACAGTCACAAGATAGCAACACTTCCTTACAAGATTTTCTATTGCAACAATATCCTATCCCATGACACCTCTTTATATTATTTACTCTATCTATCGCTCTGAGGGAAAGAATGAATGGAAATGAACTTGTTTAGAATAAATTTTCTATAAGATACAGATGGTCTGGAACGCTCATTTTCAACTGTTATTGTTTTTTTTATGGCAAAATGTAAAAAACTAATCTCTAAAGTTAACAGTTTGTTATTACCAAGTAAATTTCATCCGATCTTTTTGAAAATCCGTATTTAGTAACTTCTTTTGATAACAAAACAATATGACAAACCAGATCACCGTAGGGTTTATACTCATTGATTAATTAAATAAACAAGTAGAAAAAGGGATGCTTTGTCTTTCAAACTGGGGGACTACAAGAGAGTTCCCAATTTTTTTATATATAGTGGAACCGTAAAACAATCTTTTCCAATACTTGTCCCAATAATTTTTGCAAATCAACGGACTGTGGAATTTTTTTAGTTAACTGGAAATGGAATAGCTTCCAAGATATAACAAGAAAGTTAAAGAAGTTACTAAATACAGATTGTCAAAAAGATCAGATGAATTTTCTTTGGTAATAACAATCTGTTAATTTTAGAGATTAATTTTTTACATTTTGCCATAAAAAGCAATAACAGTTGAAAATTAGCGTTCCGGACCAACCGTATCTTATAGAAAATTTTATTCTGAACAAGTTCATTTCTATTCATTCTTTCCCTCAGAGCAATAGTTAAAGAGATATTCGAAGTCAAATGCGAAAAAACACGACATTTTCTCATTTTTTCTTCGTTTTTTGATAATAACAATATGTGCCGACCGTTTCTGGCCAGGGGGACTATGATTTTCCGATTCAGCGGATTTTTTTATATAGGTTACGCTCTTAGACCATATAGTACTATATGGTCTAAGGTTACGCTTGGTTTCGTGTGAAATTACAACATCCAGCTACCACTTTTAAAGCTAATTTGACTGGACTACAATAAAACTTCCTAAGTTTTAATTTCAAAATTCTTTTGACTCCCGATATTAATAAATCCCACTAAGTAAATGATGCAGCAAATGTATGCATCCCAGTCTTAGACCATACCGTTATGGTCTGAGATCCAAGTCAAGTAGGTACCTACTCCAAGTTGACATTTGATCTGTGACATAAAATTGTCCTGTTTTGTACGCTATGTGAGTAGCCCTTTCGTGCTCGTTCCCAAATTGTGAGTGCAAAATGAGTGATGCAGGGTATTCAACCGCTTTTTCCTATTTCCTCTTGGCAGCAACGGGCGCTTACTGCCTTCAAGAATACCGCTGCAGCATATGTACAGTAAAACTGGCGTGTGTCAGTTTCGGAATTATCACAGCGAACGCCTTACTAGGAGCTTGGCATTGGGGTAAGGAAATTTGCAAATCGTTCCACCGAAATTCAGCATTAACCCTTAGTAAACAAATCGGAAGGAAGTGCAATAGAGAGCACCTATAAGGTAACAACATTTCTTCGGAGTATACTTGCGTTGCCGTTCGTTGTAACCCAGATATGGTTGGATTATGGTTACGATCAGGAGTTGGCAAATTTTCATTCACTGATATGCTTGGTGCCATTTCACTTGTATTTGGCCAATAAAACAAATAACGCGATTATCGACATGTTGATAGCGGTGAACGCGGCTTCGTTGTGGATTGTTTCTTGGATGACCAATAGCCTTCATGGCATGGCAGCTGCGGGATCCTACCTGTGTACCCATTTCCTGTTCCGATCTGGACATATGGATTTTGACCAAACTTCAGTTACCGATCTTCAAAATTATGGACTAATATGCTTTACATATTATTCATTGATGTGTCTTACAAAAAACCCAAAATGTTAATATAAATAACTGGTTTCACTATTATTAATTAATTACAGTCTTTATGTAATCCCCAATTTATAATTCTCATTTTCCTCTATTGGGGTAATCTGCACTGCGATTTTTTGTTGCCTTATGACTTTTTGCAAAGCGTCAGTTCTTATTACAAAGGTCTTAAAGATTGTAAAGGACACACACTTTTAGATGTAAATTTAGCCGTCATGTCAGTGGAAAGGGATCAAATTGAATCAAACCAATGATAGACTGTTGTTACACGGATTTATAAGCGGCATAAGTAAAGCCCCCTAAGCAATAGTTATACAGATGTTCCGGTGGTTTGGAGTACGCTCCATACTGAGACATTATAAATAACAATAATAATATTGCAACATTATAGTCCCTATAAAATAACGACGCGAGCAAAAGACACACGAGATTAAAAAACGCCAAAGCTTTGACTAAATCCTTTTGCAACATCAGCATTTTCTTTAATTTCAAAAGAGTTAAGGACAACCCAACTATAAAATGCGCCCATACGTGTGCGTTACGTAAAGTTCCTCTATCCAGCCAAGATTCTAAAACCATGCAAGGTACTGCAACTGCCGGTACCAAAAATGTGAGTATTACGTGTATTTCTTCAAAGTTCCAGTTACATGGGAAACCTGGAAATGAAAAGTAGAGGGTGACGAAACCAAGACCAGAACTTACTCCATCTCAAGGCGCCGAATATAGAAAAGCTGCATATAATTCCAAGAGTGATCGATAAGAAGCGCAAGGTGAATTTGGTTCTTTCAAAGTGGGATACAAGGCAATAGAAGCTGATGCAAAATAGAATAATATAAGAGGTGATCACTGAAACTCGGTACATTTTGCTGCATTTGCGAATTTGGAACTGTCAACTATGACAGCGAAAATCTCAGGTAGTGCGTATTTGTATGGAGCCGCTTCGCGTTTTTTCGTGAAATGTCTGCAGAAGAAAGAATGATCGTTTGGAATGTTTTAGAAGTGCTGGAAGATACTTTTTTTAAAAACAGAGTTTGGTATGTAACTAAAGGAAGCGTAAAGTGATCGTGAAGTAGGTTAGCCGTTAGAGACCCGTGTAGGGACGGGTAAGAATAACCCTACTGCAGAGTGCACTGCATGTCGTAAGAGGCGACTAAACAACTTCCTATCGATCTCAGTCTCAAGTGATTTGAAGCTTGAATGTCCCAGAGAATGTGCCTGACATTACGGGTGAATTAAATGAATGTAGAAAGTGAACGATGTTTCTAGATAGAACTCCACTACTGTATTTAATTAAATTTTCTAGTTTTTCCCGTTGCTAGAGCCTACAAGATCGAGCCATTTGACAGTAATCTAGACGATATCCTGTAGGTGGTTTACAGGCCATATTTTTAAAGTTTGACACACTCGATATAGATCTTTCTGTGAAATTTTTTCCCCTGAATTTTAAGATTGGATTACAGTTGCCATTTATTTCAACTATATACCTACTTGTTTGCAACGTTTTTTTCTCATGGTATATAACTTATAAGCATCTTGTGCTAAAAAAGAAGTGGCATATATGTAACTGGTGTCCGATTCCATTAAAACCGAAAAGATTCTTCGTGTGACCTCCAACAAAACTAATGATTTAATGGTGCGGTTGTTTCTCATTCATTGATCCTCCGTCTTGCATAAATCAGTTCAATTCCGTTGACATATAAGATCCGGAATGTGTGTGTGTTTTTTTTAAATTACCTTTAAAATTAGGGGAACTTGAAAGGGGTTGCAAATTAAAATTTTTTGGGTTATCAACCCCTAAAAATTCCCCAGCCTATGAAAGTTTTAAACCACAAAAGGTATGAAGAAGTAAATAAGCATTTAGCGGAATAATGATTATAATTTTATTTACAGGAAACATAAATAAATTTACAAATTATCATGTGAGTGGAAATAGAGGCAGTCGGCGGCAACTTGGTGTTCTGGCGGCGGAAGTGACGGACGGACGGACTCGAGCGCCACCAAAGGTATGACCTTACCTCTGGTCAAGGTGAGCGATAGCAGCGGTTTGGTGGATCGGTCTCGGAAACCTCAGGCAAACTAAAACGGAAAAAAACGGCCGCTCCAGGAATTCTAAAAGGCAAGCGGCGGCCGGCTACTGGTGGATGCTAAATACAAAATTAATGCACACAGCAATTGCCTTAAGCGGGAACAGTAAATAATCGGATTCGGTAGCGGGATCTACGGAAAAGGAAATGCAAGAAGCGAAACAATATCCCTCCTTATAATTAATGAAACGGTAAGTAAGTAACAAACATTTTACCTTGCAATTAAACGGAGCGGAAGAAATTACTGCGCAAGAAAAAATATATGGATACGGTGCGGTAAACTTAATGTCGGTAATAGTCGTCATCTTCGTGGGCGGTTTAACATACGCTCAGTTTAATTGTGTGATGAACTATTATACCGTGTGTCATAAACAAAATCATCAGTCTAGCTAGCTACGTTTGTTTCTGAGATACGAGGTAAAAACGAAAAATTTGAGTTTTTGGGATATTAATACTTATAGAATGTGCCCTCTAGAATCCATAAATTCAAACAGTTCGAAGATTGGGCTACTAGTTCAAAAGTTACAGCTCTTTGAATGTTCTTTCGAAATTGGTTTCTAGTCTATATCTTTTGATTGAGAAGTCTAATCGAAAGAATACGAATTGTTTTGGATTCTACGCCCCAAAATTAATAAGAAAAAGTGTTTTCCCGAGAAATTTTGGTGTAGTCGATTTTTGGTAAAAAAGGAATGTTATACACTGCCTTTTTTTGAGCCGCGAAAAAAAATTGTCTCAAATCGACCGGGAAAAAAAAATTTTTCTTATAGAATGTGCCCTGTAGAATCCATATTTCAAACAGTTCGAATATTGGGCTACTAGTTCAAAAGTTACAGCCCTTTGAATTTTCTTTTCAAATTGGTTTCTAGTCTATAACTTTTTATTGAGAAGTCTAATCGAAAAAGTACGAATTGTTTTGGATTCTACGCCCTAAAATTAATAAGAAAAAGTGTTTTCCCGGGAAATTTTGGTGTAGTCGATTTTTGGTAAAAAAGCAAAGTATACACTGCCTTTTTTTAAGCCGCGAAAAAAAAATTGTCTCAAATCCACCGGGAAAAAAATTTTGCTTATAGAATGTGCCCTGTAGAATCCATAATTTCCAACAGTTCGAAGATTGGGCTACTAGTTCAAAAGTTACAGCCCTTTGAATTTTCTTTCGAAATTGGTTTCTAGTCTATAACTTTTGATTGAGAAGTCTGATCGAAAAAATACGAATTGTTTTGGATTCTACGCACCAAAATTAATAAGAAAAAGTGTTTTCCCGAGAAATTTTGGTGTAGTCGATTTTTGGTAAAAAAGGAAGGTTATACACTGCCTTTTTTTGAGCCGCGAAAAAAAAATTGTCTCAAATCGACCGGGAAAAAAAATTAATTGCTTATAGAATGTGCCCTGTAGAATCCATAAATTCAAACAGTTCGAAGATTGGGCTACTAGTTCAAAAGTTACAGCTCTGAATATTCTTTCGAAATTGGTTTCTAGTCTATAACTTTTGATTGAGAAGTCTAATCGAAAGAATACGAATTGTTTTGGATTCTACGCTCCAAAATTAATAAGAAAAAGTGTTTTCCCGAGAAATTTTGGTGTAGTCAATTTTTGGTAAAAAAGGAAGGTTATACATAGGATCATATAATTTGTCACAGAGTGGATGCATCTTTCAGCTTTTCGGAAATCCATTAATAATAAAGTCTAATATCTAACCCTGTATTAAAATTAAGAGGGACCTCATATTTGAATAAAATATTTCATCTATTCCATACCGAAATTCTTTGGAGATACCTATGTGAAAAGAATGTGGGTTTGTAAATCATTGTTTGCCTAATTGTCACATGAGATCCCTAACGTTGAATGAACGTTTGCCATTAAATTTGCAGGATTCTGTAAAAGTGTAAACACTAAGCCATTGATTATATTACTACGAACTTAAATCCGCACTTGAATCTATAAATAACCGAGTTTTTTCACCTTTAAAAAATTTGCAGTGACAATTACACTGCCCAGCAAGGTTTTATGAATATTGGAGCAGCAGCGGCGTCGGAAGTGAATAACGGTTGGGGGGGCAATCAACGACCATAGAGCCTGAAAGGTCCCTCCCATGCAAAATTGTGTACGATTTAATGCAAAGCAGTGGGTTTTTTAAGTGACCCTGAAACCTGTTATAATTTAATCAATCAAATAATGTATTTTTGAAAGAAGTTTTGAAAAAAATTTAAAAAAGTGTCGGAGGATGTCTAGTTATATGCAATTGAGCAACTCAGAGATACTTGACTCGATTGAGAAGACCATACCCATACTCCATACTCCATAGATCATCAATATTTATTTAAAAAATAATGAAGAACTAGAACATACAAAAGTTACAAAAATTTTGTTCCTATTTATTGCACTATTGAGCATTGTAAAGAAAAGCAAGTATAAAAAATTAAATATATCCAAAAATTTTCCGCCTCTCAACAGTTTTGCTGGCAAATTCTTTCAACGTACCCTCTACTCCTACACTCTTTGTAATTTCTGCACGCACATGCCGTAGGTAGAAGATGTGTAAGTTGCTTTTGAATGATTTATCTACTCATTCTTAGAGGGGGCGCGGCCCCCCTTGTGTAAAAACTGAGGGGGCGGCTCGCCCCCTCTGACCCGTACTTCCGACGTCG